TCTATTAATCTAAGTTTATTAGAACTACTTACTACTTAAAAATCTTAATAAAATTATAAATATTATCCAGCATACCCGCGAAGATCTAGTTAATATTAACTTCACATCTAATATAATAAAGAAAATTGAGTAATATATATAGAAATATATATCTTTTTCTTCTTAGTATATTAACAGTATAGTACAAAAATATAAATATTTAGATAATAACTAATATTATATAACACCTCTTCCAAGATATCAAAGTTGGTATTTACCATGCGTAAATAGTATATATAAAAAGATATTATATTTTAATAGACTATTCTTATAATATACGAATCTTACTCTTAGAAGCTGCCTTGGGAGGCATAATAAAAAATCTAATATAAAATATATAATCTGAAAATAAATAAAACAGGAAACGAATATAGAAAGATATTTAATTATCAAATAATTAATATATAATAATAAAAATAATAAAAAACTAATAAAAAAATAATAAAAAATAAATAAAATAATACTAAACTACTAAAAAAATACCAACCCCGAAATAGAAGAAGAAGAGAAAGAGAAATAATATAAAAAAATCTTTTATTTATACTTCTTTTCTACTAATCTATTTATATAAATATAATTAAATATTTTTAAAGTTATATAAAAATAGTATATAATCTTATTTCTATGGTATTCTCCGCGGACTCCCCGTCTCTCGCCATAGAATCCATATTATTCTAAATTAAAAATATATGAGATTATTTCTAATATCCAAGCCAGATGACTCGCCCCAGCGAAGAAAGACACTATTTATAATAGAATAATCCAATTATCAAAGTTCTGAATATTAAAATAACATATTATAACAGTTATAAAAATCATGAGATTATTAATAATGATTTTATACTTCTCCGACATCTATAAGATGCCGATTCCTTTATAAGAAGACTGATTTCTTAAGAATTAGTCTATTCCATGGATATAGACTACCTTTATCATTATTAGATAAATCTATTATATTTGGTGGTTGATTCCTTACCTAGTCGACAGGCTTTCTACTCTGACAAGTAGATCCTATCACACGATGCTAGTAGTATATATTAGAACTAGAAAATGAAACCTACTGGGTACATAATTTAGCAGTAGAATAGATAGAGAAATATCATTTTCTTGGAGTAAATAGTGTTCTTGATTTTGGTAATCCTCTTAAATCCTTTAGTAAATACATAAACTTCTTAAACAACTCATCACACCCTAGTTTTGAGTCTCTAACACTAAGCAATGTCAAACCTGAGCCCACCACAAGCTAGGCCGGGCGAGTCCAGTACTCTCAGGCAAGCCATGCCATGTCTAATCTTAGCCCACACTGGAGATATGGTTCACCATCTCAGCTAGCGAGTACTACGCGTATATTAAGCAATATTAGAGTTTTTCTCCTAGCCAAAAATCCGTAGGCTGAGTAGTCAAGTGTATACCTTTTCCTCGTAGAATATTTTCTTCAGGTATTTGAGCACATTTCAACAAGAAATAATTCCCATTTAACTTTCACTGACAGACGATAAGATTCAGACACAACTAGTAAAAACCCTCAATGAATCAAATAACGATAATGATAGGTAAAGCTCTGCTGTACTTCCCCATGCCTCCTTTCCTATTCCACAGTTCCTTTCTGTCTTCCCTTCTGTTTTTGTTAGTTTTCTCATTCTCCCCTTTTCTCTTTTCTTTTCACCCCTTACTTTTCTTCATTTCTGTTATTCTTTCTTTCTTTTCATCTTCTCTCCCCGTCTTCTTTCTTTTCCACTACGTTGCCTACGAGGAATATTACCACGTCTCACATACCCTCCAAAAATTGTCCACATAACCTGGCAAAACCTTATCCCAAAACTCGTTCTTTTCGAGATACTCCAGCTCTTTCTCACACATATCCTCACTAACCAACACTTCGACATCTAATACATGATTTGTAATCACGGTAGTTATGTGCTCCTTTGCACAAGCAGCATATGCAGTGAATGCGCCAGTGTCTTGACAATAATCTTTCGCTGTAGCTAAGTCACTACAGTGTTGTTCCACGGCCTTCATTGATTCATCTGTTATGCTAAGGAAGATTTCAATGCGTGATCTGTCTATTCCGAGGTTTGTCGCGATTGTTTGGACAGAGGGTTTGAGGATAGCTTCGCTGACAAGGGTGGTGTACTGCCCAGAGACGATCGGTTTGCACCCATGGCTGCAGATGACTTTGTAGTAGGCGTCATATGCTTTGTCGAGTTTGGGGCCAGCGATAGAGGTAAGCTTATCGCAGGTTGGGCTAATGAGGGGAGTGCTGATGGAGGTGGAGGTAGAGGTGTGGAGAGTTAGAACCGTGATGAGGGTAGGGAGAAGGTACATTTTGCTGATCGGGTTGGTAATATAAGGTTCGGGATTGAAGTAGATACAGCTATTCGGCCAATTATGAATTGAGTATGGTAGATTCTCAAATAACTTCTCTGCAACGAGACAGGAGTATACTGCAGGGAGAGCCTCCTTTTGTACCCGGTCATCGGTGACATACAATTGTATTAGCATTTGTGGCGTTTTTATGTTTTGAGATCTTCTCGTGTTCACAATTACATTGAGATCATACTTACGTTCAATTTCCCTGCTTTTCTGAGCAATATCTCGTATTTATCATGGATTCTGCTTTCGACTTTCAATTCTTCAAGATAATTGGTGTCCGAATTAGGACTCATTGCTCCAAAATGTAGCTCTGGGCTGAGTGGTCTGTAGCGGGGAAATTACCTCCGCATCTCTCTTCCGTTTTCTGGGTCGGGTGAACCTTTCATCCGTGGGTCAGCAAAACCGTATACAGTCAGCCAATGTATTATCAGATTCACCGCGGGGTTTTGCACCACATAATCCGGTTGATTCCTTGGCATTATAGGTCAGGTGGCCGGTACTCTGTGAATTACTGCTGGGCATTGATGTTACCTAACAGGAAATAGGCAATCTTGTACATGCCATCTATGATATCTGCAATATTTAGAAAAAGTCTCATTCGCAACGATAGTACTCGTGGGCGGATTTACTAGAATACATCTTATATTCGTGATCCGTAGGGAAGTTACATCAGAATCTAAAGGCTCAGGAACGAGCTGCGGTAAGTATTTGTTGCTTTGAAAAGCGGTTGGATGCAGATCCATTAGCTGCTCCTTGTGCATGATTTTGCTTAGTATTGTCCATATCCCCTTCTACTAGACGACAAATTGTTACGATTGTCAGAATATTAGATGTCACAGATAGATATAGCACTGCATACTGGGTAGATTGAACAAAAGTCCCATGCTTAGGGTAAGAAGCACCCTTTGATTCCAAGATTATGAAATGTAGAAGTGATAGTCATTCACAAAGTAAGGTACTACGTCTTTTCAATCTTTGCCGTCAACCAGCAGCGGCAGCCACTATTGCCTGTGGTTCTTTTGCACCTCTATCCAGTTCGGACGGACGAGCTGTCATATCGGATTGCGATACTGCTGAGTATTGTTTACGTCGATATACAAACCACCTACATTAGTTAGTTACCTCAACTCCGAGTCAAGCGAAAGGTTAGGAAGCGGTAAACCAACCATAGGGCAGATGCTATTGCTATGACGGCCGGGACACCAAGCCCCACACTCAAGCCGATAATCAGCTTGTTGTTATTCGAACGGTGGTTGTGGTGGCGGTGGTCATTGTCAGTAGCGGGATTGGAACTACTTGTTGCGGTCGCAGTCGGGGGAATGTAGGATACCGGGGTTCCGGATGTGGATACGAGTCTGCGAGCATCACTGCCAAAGGGGATGACACTGGTCAAGGACGAGAAGGTGCTCGCGGGATATGTGGCATCTATGCCGGATTTGACTGTGAGAACTGTTGTCATGGTGCTCTTCACTGATGTCGTCCGCTGGAGATAGATAGGGCAGTTGATTAGTCCTTGTGATGCACAGTCAACGAGCGTATACGTCGTCGAGGTAGACACTGTAGTGCTAACGAGGTCGTTCCGCTGTTCAAGGGTGGCAGATGGGGTTATAGTAGACGAAGATGTCTTAGAACCGGCGCAGATACTATCCAGGGTTGTGTAGAACACTGGGACGGTGGTGTTGGGCGTGGGCCCCCATTGGTATGTGTCAACAGCAACGGTTGCCCCCGCAGCAGCACCCACAGCGAGGGTGTACTCTGCAACAGCTTCAAAGTCACAGTGACCATCATCGCTAGTAGACGAATCGATCTGCAGGAGGAAGTCAGCCACAGAGGCAGACACTTCGCCGCCTATCCCTGCACTAAAGCTCAGGTGCTCGAAGACGGAGACCGAGTCTGGGGTTGCTAGTTGAAATCCGATACTGCTTTGGACTTGTAGGAGGGCCCGAAGGGTTCCATGGCCTTCAACGGTTACTGGAAGAAATTCCATCCGGCCACCGGGTCTATGACACTTTAATTAGTGCTGGTCACCTAGATAAAAAAAAAAAAAAAAAAGATGCTGGACTTCGCCTGGACCCTCAGCTTATGATAAAGAAGGACTCACATTGTAATGCTCGATATATTGTTGTTGAACAGTTCCAAAGCCAGCGTTAATCCATCATCTAGCTTAATGTGGATTCCACTGCTAATATCGATATCCGCTTGGGCAATGAGAACAAGCGAAACCTTGAATATGGCACCGGCCTCGAGACTGGATATTGAGATTCCTGCTGGAGTCTCCGAGGTGAACAAGTTTAACGTGTAAGTAGCTCCGGCCGACAGCTGAAGATCTAGCTCCAGATATAGTTCCAAACCATCAAAGTCAACCTGTGCATGTACCCCAGAAAATCCGCTTGCATCATCCAGGTCGAAATCAAGATCCAATGTCGGCCAGGCGGGAATATCGCTCAGTTGGAATTGAGAGACATCTTTGAGAATATCGCTGGCGGCTTCACGCGCATAATTTTCAAGCTTAGAAAGTGCAGAATCTGTGACATTCGCAATCTCGTCCCCAACGCTATCCACGGCCGTGGTAACATTGAACCCATCCCCGACGGTCAAGTAGCCGCCGACAGTCCCATTAATATAACAGACTTTGCAGACGATTGACAGCCCTGATTCCAGACCGACTGTCCCGTTCTTTGATCCAGCAGAACTCTCAGTGCTAGAGTTGGGGCATCAGAATCAGTATGTGTACTTTGACATTATTGAGCAATTGGTGGTTCTTTGACATACCTTGCTTCAATCGAGAATATAGTAGCGTTTTCCCAACTCTTTGTTAAAGCAGTCTGATTCATCGAGTATGTCTTCCCTCTAGCCTCGTGTAGAGCCCGTCTGATGGCGATCGTGGTGTCTTTGTCAGCATTGTTGTAAGCTTGCAATGGGGCGTATTCTCCATTAGATGCGCGCACGATGCATAAAATTTGCAGGCAGATGAGCACGCAGATGCTTTTAATCATCATTGTAAAGCTGCTATATTGCGAAGCTCCATCTGCTGTCCTGGGACCGGAGGCAGGCCGGCGGTTGTTCAAATTATCTGTTGCTTTGCTCAGCCTTGTGCCGCACCGCAAAGGGGCAAAGGTGGTGACACAGGACAACATAGTATCACAGCCCCCTAATTTAATTCACAGCCTGAAATGATGGCGCAGCTTACCTGCATTAGTGCCATAATGGGCCGAAAGGCGAATTCCCGCCGCTGAATTGAGGGTCGACCATGGTCTTTCGTGGATAGTACTTAGTACACATCTCACCCAGATCTCTTACTGCAGCGCCGTTGTGAGTCTAAGACTGGATAGGAAAGCCTTACTAGCAGAGTGTGGCCACGAAAAAGAATACATCCCATGCGGACGGGCCTATTTTCACCAGACTCTTGGTTTGTCTTGGGTGGGAAAGGACAAGGCTGGTTTGGTCCCTAGCTCTATCTAGTGGCGGGCGGGCCTTCGCGTCGAGGCTTCCGTGCCCCGCTTTCCTATCCCGTGTGTTGATTTTGCATTAGCCTCCCTTCGGGTACCTTGAAGCTGAACGTGTTCAAAGCGCAGAAATTCCGTTGACCGATCACTATATGGCCTGTACATTTACTGGTGGAAGTATGTAGAAAAATGCTTATTAGCATTTGTATACTTCGATTATCTTTACTATTTTTCACATCTTAAAACCTATATTATCAGTAAAGGCTGATCAAGCTAACTGATTAAAGTAGTTATGAGAATCCAACATATATTTCATAGGAAAATGTTCAAGAGGCACTATAGTACCTAATAGTCTCTCTGGCTTACATTTATAGATATATATACATTGTTGTTTTTATGGTCTCTGGGTGTAGATGATTGCTTATCCGGTTGACAGGCTTACTATTTTGACTAGTAGATGGAATTTCGCACCTCTGCATCAACTATATTGTTTCTATAAACCAGTGGATCGCCTTTGGTTTGACTCCGCCCCGAATTAGACCAATAAAGTAATTCCCCTGTTCAATACTTGGGCTGCCTCCGATATCTCAGATTCATGGTCACCAATACCCAGTGCGTGGTTGGCTGCCAAGGTTCTACCCTTAGTAGGTGATAGAACGGTTGATTGTTTCGTCTCACCCGATAATAAATGGGCTAATTATTACGTCGGATAAATTATATCGACAGGTGTATGACAACAAGTCCATGTCCTCCAACATTGTCGGGAGAACGCCGGTGGGTTCCTTCCCCGCACTTTCGGCCTGATCTCCGACCGCGGAGCGGATATAGCACAACCGTTCCCACGAGAGGGATGCTTTACACAATTCCATGATATTCACACCCACATTATTAACTGCTGACTCACATCTACAGGCTACAAAGACGATGTCTGGTACAAGAGCCTATAACATCCTTGTCCTTCCCGGCGACGGCATCGGCCCGGAGGTCATGGCCGAAGCCATAAAGGTCCTGCGAACCTTTAACAGTTCCTCCATGCAGTTCCACCTGCAAGAAGAACTCATTGGCGGGATCTCTATCGATACCCATGGTCATTCCGTCACGCAACCCGTCAAAGACGCTGCGGTCGCTGCAGACGCTGTACTCTTCGCAGCAGTCGGGGGTCCCAAGTGGGATCATATCAGGCGCGGACTCGACGGGCCAGAGGGGGGTCTGTTACAGGTACGCAAAGCCATGGACATATACGCAAATTTGAGACCGTGTTCAGTGGATGTACCGAGTCGGGAAATTGCGAGGGACTTTTCACCTTTCAGGCAGGAGGTTATCGAGGGGGTCGATTTTGTAGTGGTGCGGGAGAATTGTGGAGGGGCCTATTTTGGCAAAAAGGTTGAGGAAGAGAATTATGGTAAATTCCATTCTACCGTGTAAGCCAGAAAAGGTGGCTAGCATGATGCTCTAACACGAGTGCAGCAATGGATGAGTGGGGTTATTCCACCACCGAAATTCAACGCATTGCTCGTCTCGCTGCAGAGCTTGCCCTGCGGCATGACCCGCCGTGGCCTGTGATTTCTCTTGACAAAGCCAATGTACTGGCCTCGTCGCGTCTGTGGCGTCGCGTTGTCGAGAACACAATTTCAGTAGAGTATCCACAAGTCAAATTGGTCCACCAGCTCGCAGATTCAGCATCATTGATCATGGCAACCGATCCACGAGTCCTCAACGGTGTGATTCTGGCAGACAATACCTTCGGAGACATGATATCAGACCAGGCGGGGTCACTGATTGGAACATTAGGTGTCCTGCCTAGTGCCAGCTTGGATGGTCTTCCTCATCCTGGCAAGCAGGAAAAGGTTCGCGGTCTATATGAACCAACGCATGGCTCTGCTCCGACGTATGTCTTTCTAGATGGCACGAATATACCATTGCTGACATCTTGAAGAATAGCCGGTAAGAACATCGCGAATCCAACTGCGATGATCCTCTGTGTGAGCCTGATGTTCCGGTACTCTTTCAATATGGAGAACGAAGCGCGCCAAATTGAGGATGCCGTGCGTGCCGTTTTGGATAGGGGACTTCGCACTCCTGACCTTGGTGGAAATTCAAGCACTCAGGAGTTTGGAGACGCCGTTGTTGCAGCACTGCAAGGGAAATATTAGAGAGGATGTGACATACATATAGTACCTGGAAGCATCATACGTGTTGACTTTCTATGATATGATGGTGATATCTGGGACGGTATGTGAGTGGCCAAGTCAATATGGTTAGCAAAATGTTACTCTGTAGATGGGAGTCTCCATATTATGGCAAGAGAATCGTCTTGAGGGACAAATGGTTTAATCATGCTATCATTACTCTGGGGATGATACCTCGTGGACCGCTGTCTTAGAACTCGCGAGTTAACATTAGTGTTGAAATAGTCGGCGTCAACGTCCTCAGCTGAATCCATCCACGGGTTCCGTGATGGCAGGGGCACCACTCGCCAGCCAGCAATATTGTCGACATCCTCAATTACAGCATCAATAGGAGGGCCAGACTTCATTATCTTGGGCGAGGACTTCGTCCAGTGGGGCAATATTCTTCTTGATGGTACATAATGTGAACATTGATATGTAATAATATTTTTGCTCATCCTCAGCGTCCCCGGGCTGTGTATTGCAATTCTTTCTGCTATAAAAATCAAGTCCCACAAATAGTGGGCTTGTAAGTAACATACGCTGGAATAAAAATAGGGACACACTTTGTCATGAATTGGGATATAGTCCTTCAGTAAAAAGAATAAGTTAGTAAATAAATGTCCGAGCTCTTAATAATTTTCAATAAAATGTTCAATGTGCTCGATGGCGTTGCATATTTCCTGGCTTACTACCATTCCGGGGTTTTACGGTTAGAGGGAGTTGGAATGAACCATGGTTTCAAAGATTTGTTTCCGGGGAGATCAGTTTCTCAATCTGGAGGGCAGATGACCGTATTAGTAAGGACTTCTACGTCATGATTATCTATACCTGTCTATTACTGGGGTGTCCCAATCCTCCCTCTCATGTTAATCCTGCAAGCCGCTTAACAACTCCTTGAAATGCAGGTCTCCTTTCCCTAGTACGTCCTCTATACGTCGGCCGATCAGTGAACTGATAGTGGCTTCTACTAGATCCAAGCAACGAAGAGCTACAGAAAGTGTAGTGGTTACCACGTATCCCGGAACAACAGGAAGCGAGGCCAAGTCAGGTGCTGCTCATCGTTCATCTCGTGGACTCATTGAATTTATCGATCAATCATCACTATACAGATACAATGGAGGCAAAGAAGAATTTACTCTGCGCTCAGCTCGAGGGTCGTGAGTCGCCTGCTCCGGAAAGCCAGACCGCCGAGCAGCAAGCGCCGCTCTGCTGGGGTAGAATCCCTCGCAATCTGCAGCAGCCGGCATACAATCCAACGGAGAGCTCTGACCCTGTCAAGCCCTTTGTGTTGGAAAGTAACCCTGTTCATCCTCTTGAAGCGCCGTTGGCGGCGCAATATGCACACGATAAGAAAGGGAGTATCTCAAAATGATGTTTGACTCGAATGCCTGTGAACATCGGTTCACTTCGCCACATTGTGCATTTCCATTCTTCATGATCGACCCCGTGTATCACAATAGTTTGTGAAGCCTTAAATATCCGTACGTCGGGATGAGGGATACATGGTTCGGGTGACTGGTCTTCGGGGCGTGAAATACTGGAAAAGGACTTTTATAGCCGCTGGTATAGCGATGTTCAGATTTCTTCCTATCTTGGAATAACACTCACTAGTTTTACTTTGCATCATGGAATACATAATAAAGGGTGTTCTTATGTATAGCAACACGGCATTTACCGTCGTATATGGTTCTTCCAGGACGCTATACTAGAACAATCATTGAAGCCCCTTGGAGGGAAAGACGACGTGGTCAGCAAATGGTGGTACCAGCAAATGGTGGTACATTATATAGCACAATCGATCGGCATGCACTCATGTCAGATTCATTCCTAAGGCAATAATAGTATGTACCTAGAAGGCAGATGTTCACGGCCAATTTACTGGTAAACGAATATCTTTGAAAATTATAAATGTTTTTGGATATACTAAAAGAACGTTTGCAATGGAAGCTCCTACGCCTTCAGGAGTACTTTCCAAGATAATGCTTCACTTCAAAGGGACGGAAAGGGAAGATTATCTAATAATATCATGTTTCATTCAGCTTTTGTTTTATTTACTTTGGGGTGAATGATGCGACCAGTGATAAACACTTCTGTGGTAAGAAACAACTTCGGGCTGATGGTACTAATCTCTTTTTACAGTTTGAGTATAATATTAGGGCAAAGTGAATTAAATTATGCAGTAATTGAAAATTTTAATTTAAAAACTGTTTCGAGAGGAACACTGACTTTATGTAGGATCCTTAGAAACGAACATCTGTTCCAACAGCCTGGATGCATATGAACCACGACGTCACTCAATCGGGCCGCAGGGATATCACTAGGTCATAGTTATTACACGTCTAAAGAATAGAGGATTCGCACCCTGTTCTAGTTTATACTTCAGCAGGATATGACATATAGGCTCGGAAATATACGATATTTGCAGTGATACAAAGGACTCCTGTCATGCTTTATACCTTTTACAGTCAGATTCTTCCCAATCCTACCGACATCTTAGGTCCAAATGCTCTTTGTAGTATTTATATCACAAGGAAAATAGCAGACGTATCGAAGCTGGATTCTACTCACATAATGTCGATTCTCTTTACATAGTCTATTCTGGAATCTCACATATTCTCGATCATGAATATAGTGCACTATTCTCTTAACATTCACAACTATAGTTCAATATCATCTATCCATCTCTGCACTGCTCATCTGCTTCCAATCCACTACTAGGTCAGAACCAGCTTATAGCTGGCGAACGCAGTGTCACCGTTGAGACATCCTGGTGTTGTTACATTCTGAAGGCCTTCCTGACAATTCGAGTCGGTGAAGAATTGAGCTAAGAACATATTGTCAGCTGGCCCAACAGGACTTAGAGAAGTGCAAAATAGACTTACCAGCATACCCGGATACAACGTAGTAGGTGGTGATAGAGTGGATGGCTTCGGGACCTGCGAAGGTGCCACATTCATTAAGGCCGGATTGGTACAGGCCGAGTTCGCCGTTGTTCTCCTCGGCACAACCGGTTTCGCCCCAAAGACGGAGTTGGATAACTCGCGTGTCGGTCGTGGGCAACGCCAGTGCGGAGACGGCTAGAGCGAGGACAGAGCAGATTTTGAGCGTGACGTTCATAATGGCGGTGTGAGAAATCACTGGTGACAGGTAATGGAATATGAGATCTTGGGGTTGGGATCAGGATCTGCAGCGATCGCGGTGACGGTGGTATAGTGGAGGTATGTCTAGTTCGTGAGTGTGATGGTGAAGAAAAAAGTGAGGTATGGCAGCCGGCTGATGCCCTTTATATAACCATTAGTTGTGATGGGCAGCAAGTTCGCTCATCTATTTTTACTACGTAGGCAGTGCAAAGTCCGGATGGCAGCGGAGGTCACATGCGATAAAAGGATGTACATATCACGAGGTTTTGATAAATATCGCGGACTTCAATGGAGCAGCGGTGGCCTTTCTTTCCATCCACGAGCTTGATCCAAGACTTGTACTGAATTCAGCAAGCCGTGCACCTTGAGTTTAGCAGTAGACTGGTCCGATCCCAGTTTCCTGTTCTTGCCGCACGGAGAAACATGTCTTACTCGGGCCAAGCCCGTCAGCCCGAAAAGCCATTCAGAACGCGGGAATGCGCCCGCCATGCAAGTGCCATATGCAGTGATGGGACATGAGGAGAGACATCAGGCTCCCCGTCCGCCTAAGAAAGCCAGTCTTTGGGATTTCCCCGCCTTGACTCACGACTAAATTTGTATGGGAGACATCCACAGTCTATTCGTCCCGCAGCGGCCCGGTCCAGGGTCAGTTGGTTGTCAACGCACTCTTTGGTGGGTTCACACCAGGTAATAAATGTCAAGACTAGTAAGAGCACGCCAGATGGCCGCAGAGATCGATCGTCCAGCAAGGTCGAAAAAGTAGGCACGGTTTTACGCCACATTACCGAGAAGGTATGGCTATGCTGAATCCAGAGGCGGCATGGTTAGGCGCACCAACTTATGCAGCTCGTTTCAGGCTCTCTACTTATCATATCCTCGCTCAAAATAGATCCGGTGCACCCTGGACGCCTGTTAGGCCACCTGCCCAGTGGGTCCAGACATAGTTCACATTGAATTACTTGGCGCAGTCACGCAGAAGCGACATACGTTACAGTCGCATAATGCACCTCACACAACCATATCTGTTACATGCTGACATTGTCTTCGGAGAGCCCAAGTGATGAAGGCTCTGTGCAATGGGGTTGGCACCCAAGGCCGGGGAGTCACCGCACTGGCAATGATACCAGCATGCGTTGCAACGGATCGGAATGGTTCTGGGATGCAGGGTGATGCCAGGTCTTATTTTCGGCCAGCAGGCGTTCACAGACGGGGGGTGCTAGTATCAATGAACACAGTTGGACTCTGCGTCATTCATCACCTGTCAATATCCGGCGCGCCCTCGGCCACCCATGATATAACCACCACGGCTGTTACTCGAAAGCAATTCCCACACCATGGTTGTTACCCCAAGATATTCTGTGGAGATGGGCGGAGGGGTGACTGCTGTCTTTCACGCCCGGTAAGAAGGATCTTGTCCGCCAGTCCCTCCCTCCCCTTCCACTAGGACAGCCTCGAAATCAGCAATCCCGAAAATGCAGTCAATAAGTGCCGAGACAAGGACGCGATGTGTTATGTTCTGTCAATTGTGCTAGAAAGGGCAATATGGCTGCGATTACACCGACAAGGCCGGGCATAACTTATGGGCCGAATCTCAATAATCGCCGATCAGTCGCATAATGACCAGTCGTTGCCCAAAAGCAACCCCACCATCAGTTGTGAGAAGGGGGGTGATGTCTTTCTCGTGATTGAGACTCGTTTTCGCAGATCTCACACCATGACAGTCATTGCTTCATCCGCCATCCAATCAGACCAATCCCAACCGTGGCAGGAGAGTAATCGGCTGGTGAGGGAAATATCCTGCGCACCCAGATATCCTCACTTTCAAGCCCGCCAATGCTGTTATTCTTCTTGCAGAAAGCTCTGGGAGTCTGGGGTCGCACTGTCTGGCGCAACTAGTGCAGTCCGCCCAGGTGAGCCAGGTTATTTGTGTCCTTCGAAACAGTCTCAGTCATAGCCCGTTCGTCAGCCCAGAGGCCTATCGCAACCAGCTGCAGGAGAAGAAGGTATGTATTCTCCGAAGCTGCATGGTCTAAAGTTATTCTCATCACCTGTGATCCCACGGACGAAAGCGAGTATCGAGAATTCCAGCGCCCTATCACCCATGTTATGCACGCCGTCTGGCCCATGGACTTTCGTCCCGGTTCGTTATCGCTCCGTGGCCAGTTGCAGTTCCTCCGCCATCTATTTGCCCTGGCTATCTTTCATCGCGGCGGTGGTACAACGTGGCCTCACCCCGGCCCATGCCGGTGAGTTGATCCTGGAGGCCTCCGTGGCCACCCAAGAGTCAGCTACCGGACTGGGATATGCCGACGGAAGGATAGTTTGCGAGAAGATACTGGAGCTGGCGGCAGTCACGTATTCGGACGAGCTGGAGATCGCCATAGTCCGAGGAGGTCCTATCGTAGGATCTCGCGCCACGGGTATTTGGATCACCAAGGAGGTGGTGCCCGTGATGTTGCGATCATCGTTGAGCCTTAGAAAGCTGCCCCGGCTGCGAGGGGTAAGTTGCACTTGGAATTCGACAATCTCTGGAAGATGCAACCACTGACGAGAGAGATGAACAGACATCGTCATGGATGCCCGTTGACGATGCGGCGGCCGTCTTCTGCGAGATTCCTCTTGCGCCGCATCAACTGGCACCGGCCTATCGGATGGAGAATGCGTCCGTCAGGCACGGAGTGATCTACTGGACACCGTGGGGCCTGTTCTAGGGCTTACCAGGCGCATTCCCTTTGACAAGTGGCTGGCTGCTGTGGTGGAAGCAGCCGAGACGGAGGGCACCACACACAGGTACCCCGCGCTGAAGCTGAAGGCCTTTTTCGCGCGGCTGTTTGAACCCGCCGTGTGTCGGCATGTTATATTGGCCACCGGTCGCTCTCGGGCCTGTTCGCTCACTCTACGCCAGATGCAGGCCGTGGAGGATAAGGTGGTGCTCAAGTTGGTTCAGCACTGGAAGGATATTGGCTATTTCGCATAGAAGCACTATCGCTGGTACATATGTGGCTCAGGCCATTTACCGCACGGTACTGGGAATAACGCACTAAATTTTTAACGTGCATTGCCTAGAATTTGACTTATAGCCCTTTTCCCAGCATTGGCATCGCAATATGAAAACTCAGCAAGGGGACCAAACAACTGTAGGTAATGGAGTAATTACCGACTGCATTGCCGGGTTGCCGACCGTCAAGTGCGCCCCGGTGGACTGCGGCTAAAAGGGTTTCTCGGCGTGATCTCGTCTTCCTTCTACCACTTTCTCGAACCACCAGTACATCATTGTGACCCTGCTTGAGGCTTTATTGACTAAGCAATCTAGAGATAACTGACAAGTCAGATGGTGGTAAGACTGTTAGAGCGCGGATGGAGTATGAGTGGCAGGCAGATACATCCCTGCTCCAATGATATGCAATTAACTGGAGCACTAGTACCAACTGAAGTCTCAGCTACAATCAGATCATCCTATCGTCGACAATGATCTACGATACTGTTAGAATTCTAGAGACAAGATACAGTATAATCTTAAGCAATAAGAACATATCGTACGCGGCAGATGGATGGCCCTCACTAAAGATTCAACTGAGCGGGGCGTTGGTCGCTGTGTCATGTTCTGAATTGATCTTTACCAATAGTGCACGCTTCGGACGTTGATGGTTCAAGTCCTGAGATGAGCGTAAAACCCACAACCTGAAACCAATTTCTTAATCCCTAGATCTATTGCAAGTGACGAATCCAAGATATTTTTCTATAGTCGCAGAGATACTGTTATGAATAACTATTAGTATTGGAATATTTTTGCGCTGTCTATCGGGACCTTAACGATAGACACACTAGTATTCAAATATTTCGTCTATGAAATCTGTCACTTTGCGACATTATATGATACACCCTCACTCGGCTGCTGGCTTACACCTCGACAATTTTGTATACAGGATCTGGCCACAACTTGTTAAATGAGTATACCTTATAACTATGATGATCCGTAAGACATCGTGATTTATTTGCATGCTTAAAACGTTCCGAACAAGGGGAAATCTCTAAGATATGGTAGAGAAAAAGAGTTCGTTTTAATTATAAATAAGATCAATAGGATCATTCCTTCACAACAGAAGTGCGCTTACCTAATCACTGTCTGCGCAATCGACATCACTCTTAATTTTGGCCTATCGATAAATTTGATAATCATTCCTCGGCCTGTTCATAAGCGCTCCAATCACCTAATATAGAACATGCTGCTCGTAGTGCAGACTGCCCGATCCTTCATATGCAACAGCGTATCAAAAGTCATGTTCCTAAATCCCATCATAAAGCAAGATATAGTTAGAGATAAATAAAATCAAAGTCTCTTTCGGGGTTCTCATGGCACCTGGTGTTCGGAATCCGGCCGGAGCCCCGGGTTTTCAGTTCAATATAATACTCGGGCCGTTCGGTAGGGGACCACAGGATCTAGCTGAACAGGACAAGGTGGGAACAAAGTAGGTTTTTGGTACGATGTTTATAAGGCATGACTATTCATGGTATTCAGAATATGTTATCATGAAGTTTCGTAGTCAGCATGATTTACGTCCCATTTGCGCTAGTCACACGTCAAGCCTCCCTTCCCCTCTAGCCGCTTGGAAAGTAGTTTCCCTCATAAATTCATGGTGTGCTTGTTTGCTAATATTGCCAAAAACTTCGTCAATCTGCTCCAGTGTTCTGCCGGTTGTCTCGGGAACCAGAAAAAAGGCCCACGTTCCTGCGAGAACACAGCACGCGGCAAAAAAGACGTATGTGCCATAACCAATATTAGCCATCATCACCGGAGTCACGATCCCAACAATAAAATTGGACAGCCAGTTGACGCAAGTTGATAACGCAACCCCTTTCGAACGAAGTGCATTGGGGAAGACCTCAGAAGGCAAGGCCCAACCAAGAGGCGAGTATGTGTTCCCGTAGATGAGGATGTAAAGAAAGGCCACCGCCACGCAGCCCCAACCGGCCGATGGGTTAGCCCAGTCGGGCCCATAAAGAGCCATCAGCACGGCAATGATAATATAGCAGGCTCCCATCAGGAAACCGCCTAGTATCGCCAAGGGGCGCCGACCAACTTTGTCGATTGTTAAGAAACAAACCAGGACAGTGAGAAGCTGGAGGGTATTGAATACACCTGACAAGATCAATGACATCTCGCCCTTCTGGTCGATCAATTGGAAAAGCGTGGGCGCGTAGTAAATAAACGCATTGACCCCCGAGAATTGTTGGAAAAACCCTACACCCACGCCGACTGCTGTCCTCTTCCAGGTCTGCGGCCTGAATAGGTCCATCCATATCAGAGCCTCTCGCTTGATGCCAGTCACGCCCGGGCGCTGTTGTTGTTCCATGAGTTTCTGGGCTCTAACCTCACCGATGATTGCGTTGTATTCAGCTTGGACTTTCTGATCGCTCAATGGAAGGCCGCGCAGCCGACTCAGACTCTTGAGGCAATCCTCCTGCCGATCAACGAGCGCCAACCACCGTGGTGAGTATGGGAAGAAATGGATACCGACCCCAACAAGAGTTGCACTGACCATCTGCAAGCCAAAAGGCACACGGAATGAAGCTTCACTATCAACTAATCTCATGCCGAACGTTACCCAATAAGCTATGACCGCGCCGGACACGAGGCAAATGGATTCGAGCACTAAGAGGGTTCCCCGCAGGTTTGGTGGTGAAATTTCTGAGATATAAAGCGGTGCGCCCTAGTAGCCAGATATATTAGCAAGCAATATGTTGCATTCGGCCGGAGATTCATCCATACCATAGCCAGTGTACCAACCCCAATACCACCAATTGCTCTTCCGGCAACCAGCATGCCGTAATTTTGGGCCGAGGTCTGGATAACGGCCCCAATGTCAAAAATGATAACGACCACCGTCAGGGCCCATTTCCTGGAGATCCTGTCTGCAAGATAAGGCATGAAGATACAACCGACAAATGCCCCGAGGAGTAGCATGCCTGTCATAAACCCTTTGCCAAATTCACTCTCCGCCTGCGGGATAGCCGCATGGAATTGTGGCATGACATTGATGACTGATATGACTCCCTGGTCATACCCAAAGCTGAAACCCCCAAGAGAAGCAAGGCAGGCGGCTCCAAGAACATACCCCGAGCTGAAAAGCCCTCTGACGCCATCCGGGCCATATGAGGGCAGCATATCCACCGCTTCAACACCAAGGGTGCCTCTCTCATCATGCTCCACTGTAGTACCATCCTCTTTCAACACTTGATGCATTGAGAAATTGAGCGATTTATAGTTCTTGGCCGTCACCTCATATTTTTATCTGACTGAGGAGGCAGGAATGAGCACTTAAGTAGCCCGTGGGGCAGGGGATATCTGGCTGGAGTTACCCCGGCCGGGTCTAAAAACACCCTCCCTTCCCCCATACGGTAATTGAGTATACCGCACCAATCACATCTATCAGCGTTGTTTACAGAACTTACGAGAATGACACGCCCATCGGACATCCCTCTTCCACTGACCTCGGCCTACTTCCCGTGGCAATTAGCTCCGTGTCGCGTCGGTCATTGAGCGAATAACGCGCTTACTCGTCCCTCTATAAGCCAGATGGATGGGAGACGTATGCATTATGGGCACTTTGCCTACGACGGAATGCCTTGCGAGCTCTGCTAGATGGTACGAAGAAATGTGGGTTTCCAGAGCCACATGCCTTCAGTCACTGAAGTGAAGATACCGCTTAGGATGTGCTGAGGAAGGTAGGCCTTTTCGAGAATGGGCCATGTCAATAGTTTGTGTTCCATTTATCTACGGCTCTCAGATCGGTTGTGGCCCACAATTGTATTACACCAAAGATCCGTTCGCCCCAGACGTCCTTTTTGCAATACCCTGGCAATAATCACGACCGAACAGCAACTCGGCTTGTCAAACCGGATTTCAAATGATAGCTGGGATAAGTGAGGAACGGACCACACATGGGCCTCCCATAAAACTAATTGCAACAGAAACTCTTTTGTTGGGTAAATGACCAACAATCGCTCCTACAGTACATACGTCACGACATGCGAATTGAGGAATATGTAACTGTTGTGACCATTCTATTGCTTTTGCGGGGTCCCCACACGTCTCGAAGGCCGTATTGCCCCCCGGGGGAGGCTGCCTGTACAAACCGGAATGCTCCGAAGTAGTTGCCCCATCAAAGACTTTGTTTCTACCACCGGCCTCTACCCATCCGTGCATGTCTCTCCACGTCAGGGCTCGGAACGATTGTAACGTGGACGGAATCGGATGGCAGACATCGGACTTAATCACTGCAGGAAAGCGGATCGGACATTCGCCCCCGTTCTACCCCCTCAGCAATTCACGTGATTATAGGTCATCAGCGTAAGTATAGGCCTCCATACCATCCAACATGGGTATATGAGCTTCTCATCTATCATTTCAATGCCCTCCGATCAATCCTATCACTGATGTCCCCTTGGAACGTTATGCAGTACAGACTTTTGTTAGCAGGCGACAGAGCCGACTTCACCACGCTTGGACTCGACCTGAAGACAGGGAAATTGAGCATTCTTGCTAATTATGCAGCCCCCTTCAATGCTTCATGGGTCGAGCTATCGTCATCACAAAGGGGCCTTGATCAACTTGTGGGTCTATCCGAGGGGGTCGAGTCTGGTCTTTTGTATACCTTTGAAATAGATCACCTAAAAAGGGCTTGCACAATTACCAGCCAGTTGCCAACTCTGGGGGCGCCAGGTCACTGTAGGTAGACACATCACTCAGTTTACCACACGGTTCTTATTGGTGACAATCTGGTCTTACTAGTCATCAAGTTGCGTGATAATGCTGCACTGGCTCTTGGCACGGTTAGTCTACATCAGGTTCCCGTTCCGGAACATCTACTGACATTTCACTTCATGTAGTATCTGGGAGGATCTATTGCCCTCTATCCGATTTCCATGACAGACGATGGCAAGATGCTGCTCCAAAACGCTCCCCGAGCAGAAATTCTACCGGACTTTCCATATCAGTCGGTTGGACACGGTCCTAACAAGGGCCGTCAGCAACAATGCCATGTGCATCAAATATTGGAAGACAGCCGAGGCATACTATACGCCCCAGATCTGGGATCCGATAGGGTTTGGATACTTCGGCGTGACGGTGTTCAGCATCTTGAAGTTTGCGGCTGGCTACAGTGCCCTCCCGGAACAGGCGCTCGACATGCCGTATTGACTCCCAATGGTATGTACCCTTACTCAACACGGTGCTCCCATATCCCGGAGCTAGCTGACTTAAATTGCAAGAGACGATAATGTACGTTATTGGTGAACTCTCGCACACAGTCATCGCCTTTGATGTATCAGCTGCCCCCGCAGAGGGCATTCCGCCGATTGATGGCTTCGCACCGAGTATAATCCCCCCGGAGGTTCACCCTGATCATCAAGGCATGATGGACTCTGCCGAAATTTGTCTTCATCCCTCCCTTCCTAATGTTATCTACGCCAGTAATCGCTGGGAGAGGCACATCGCGCAGCGTGAACCATACCTCCGCAATGTGCCTCGTGATCTACCGCCGGGAGATGCAATCGCTATTATTCGGCTCTCCAGCGATGGCAGGAAGGTCATCGACATCAAGCAAGTACGGACGGGTGTTGATGTCATCCGTGGCATGCGGCTCAGTGACGACGGCAGATATGTCGTTGTAGTTGGACAAGAAGGGGGTGGCGTGGAGGTCTATGAAATCAACGGGGACAAGGGAGACGAGTGGACTTTAATAGCTGCCATGAAGGAGGGATTAGAGAACGGGATAAAGCATGCCATTTGGTTATAAGAGAGTATACATAGACCATCGGGAGACCATGGACACGTAGGCTTGACATTGACTTATATTTTCGTATTGCCATTGTAGAATTGAAGGAAGAGCACTAGATGATCCCCCCCCAGCCGTAACCTCCTCAAAAGAGATGGGTCTGAGTTTAACCTTCAGCATTTCCTTCTTCGAATAATTCTAGGAGGTTGGACGGGGCTGTTCATGCCTTGGGTGCAATGTTGTCATATCTCAATATTGAGCTTTGAGCTACTGAACCATTGGATCGAAAGCCTCTGTAACCTCTTATTTCATGCACATCAAGCTTTACCAGAACTATGAGTCTAATCAATGGGGAAAAGCTAATAACTGACAGGTAACTATGTCGCAAAATTAAAATAAAATTGAAAAAGATTGCAAGCATATTCCTAACAATCAAATTAACAAAATCTACTGGCTGACTTTCATATTCTGGAGATATCCTTAAAACAAGCCGCTTCTCATATTCGACGTCCTACCGACGTTTCAAATAATATAGCATAATCGGCACCCAACGCATAGTTCAGATGTGTCAGTAGCCCTTCATTCGATGTTGGTGTATAGTATTGTATTTAGAAAACAATAACTACAAACTTCCCGATGTCATATCGGACTTAATTTTGGCTTTTGGCCGCTTAGCGACCGGAGTTGATCCTAGCGAAATGGTGAGCCGAGCAGACTCACCTTCAACCGAGGTGATGATAATATATCCGATGCTGAGGTCCCACCATAACCAGTTATCCCCGGTGTGTCACAACTCCGTTCCTATGGCCTAAGGTATATCTCCTTACATGCTGATATACATCTCCGTTTCTGTTGGTTATGTCAGCTGGGCTGAAGGCCATTTTTATGGGCCTCCCCTGCTGGACAACTCCTGCATGTACCATTCAGAGTCTTAGAGAACAACAGCACCATGGCTCCTCCCACTCACTTCAAGCTCAATACGGGCGCCCTCATTCCCGCTGTCGGCCTTGGTGAGTGGCATTGACATTTATAACCTTGCTGCGCCCTCAATAACATGGAGAGTCTGCACAGGAACCTGGAAATCCGAGCCAGGTGAGGTGGCAAGGGCAGTGGCCTTCGCCCTCAAGAATGGATACCGGCACATTGATGCGGCATTGTGAGTGAGCCCGGCTGTCCCTCTCGTCATCGAGTGCTGGCTAACGAACAAAAGGATCTACGGTGAGCTCATCCACGTCGGTGGGTTATCTCCCCAAACGACAGTTATAATAACGCACGATTTCAGGTAACGAAAACGAGGTCGGCCAGGGAATTAGGGATAGCGGTGTGCCTCGCAAGGACATATTCATCACCAGTAAGCTTTGGAACACACATCACCCAAATGTCAAGGAGGGTCTACAGAAGACTCTAGATAGCCTGGGAACCGACTATCTTGATCTTTACGTAAGTGCAATATCATTTGATATGCGGCATGGCATCTGGTCTGACGAAGTATTTCGTCAGCTTATTCACTGGCCCGTTCGGCTGGTTCCTGTGAGCAGTTCACATTGGTGGCATTCCGCCCCAGAGCCCTGCGCGACTAACTTCCGCCATGCAGAATGAGACGAGCGAGCTTCTGCCGGTAAACCCGGATGGCACCCGCTCAGTGGACCGATCGTGGGATCAGAATGAGACCTGGCGCCAGATGGAGGAAGTTTACAAAGCTGGTATGGTCAAGGCGGTCGGGCTCGCCAACTGGTCCATTCCCTATCTGGAGGAGCTTCGCAAGACATGGACAGTCGTGCCGGCTGTAAACCAAGTTGAGCTGCATCCTTTCCTCCCTCAACATGAACTCCGAGAGTATTGCGACAAGCTTGGTATACTCCTCGAAGCATACTCCCCTCTTGGTTCTACCGGTAAGTATGATTCCTCAAGCTCTTATTGTTGTGTCCCACAAAGGCTATGTGCAAATTACTGAAATCTTTGCTAGGGGCTCCTATCATGTCAGATCCTGAGATCCAACAGATTGCGGACAAGAATGGGGTCTCCGCCGCCACGATACTCATCAGTTACCACGTCAACAAAGGCGTGGTTGTGCTTCCGAAATCTGTGAGTGAGAAGCGCATCGCTAGTAACAGAGAGGTTATTTCACTATCCAAGGAGGATCTGTATGTGCTCGACGGTATGGCGGCCGCGGGGAAGGCGAAACGCTTAAATACGCCACTGTGGGGATTCGATCTGGGCTTCGCGGACTGGTACGGTCCGGTGAAGTCGCAGTAAAGCTCATACCACTCTGTATAGGTATAGAAGATTTCAATTCATAAAAGTAGGAATTGAACTGTTGAGTAGACTCCGTTTCGACTTGTATAAAGCCAGTATCCTTTTCCAATACAGACCGCCATTCATGAGTAAAACTAGGCTCTGTCAGAAAATTCCTCTCACCAATGAAGCAGCGGGGCTATACTATATCTCCTAAAATCAGTCATATTTGCCACTATGGGCTGGACCGATCTGGGTCCAGCATAATGACAAAAACTTGGCATATACTATCGAGGAATGTTAATATGTCCGATTGTTCTCCAGTTACACGTGAACTATTACTTTATCCTACTGGCCAGATGTTTCACAAAAGCCTTTAGGTTCTAATGTAAACTTACTATTTAATCTTGAATTACATGCTGGAGATGAAACACTTTTCAGACTTGATAAGGATTTCGAAGAATAAAGTTTATGGAATAATGTTATTCGAGAGAAAGGATATGTTGAATTCGCGTACTTAGGCTAGACAGGCCACGAGACGTACATCCTCCCTCCCCTTGAGGTGGGGTTAGCAAATTCTGCCCACACAATAATCTGTAAAGCATGTGATCATACAGGCGCATTCTGAAAGCAATGTTTATCGTACTCATATCGTCTATGAGGGTCCTTAGGTGGAGAGGAAATAAGGTCTAGTCCTTGTATGGAGCCGGAGATATACCTTCCATCAGAGCCTTTATACGCATAGCAAGCAGTTTGGAATGGAAGCGGGTGTAGGGGAGATAGCCGACCATGAGCCAGAGATTGGGCACTCCAGTCTCCCGGTACGCGGTTTTGAACTCGCCCTCCTCATCAATACCCCAGATAGGACCGCATTGGTCGGCGATCCTGTCACCTAGAGTGGCACGGACCGAGTCAATCGTGTTGGAGAAGCCGGTAGCGAAGACGATCAGGTCGAATTGGCGCTCACGCCCATCGTTGAGGATTACCTTGTCCTCCGTGAACCGCTCAATGTACCCTGGCTCTACCTTGATCTTGCCATTGATGATGTGCTCACACGCACCGGCATCGAAATAAAAGCCACCGTTCCGGGTCTGGCCGAGGGTGGAACCGCCCGTGCCGCGCTGACCACGCCAGGTCCGGAGACCGCGAGCATGAAGTGCATCCAGAAGAGGCCGGTCAAGGTCTTCCAACACCTTGGCATTACGTCTGGCGAGCTCTTCCCCAGGTCCAGTAGGTGTGGCAAAGAAAAGGCGGTCTTGTTCCTCATGGCTAGGCCGGTTGCCTTCGGCGTCAGGACCATAGTTACCGATCGTGCGCGGGACGGAGTGGGTCAGCGACATGATGTAGGTCGGGGACCGTTGAAGGAGTGTAACATCGATGCCCCGGCGGGAGCAATCGAAGGCCGTATCGAAGCCAGAGGATGAGGTACCAACGACACAGACCTTCTTACCCACAAATTCACGCGCACTGTCGTGGGCCGTTGAGTGGCGGATAACACCTGCCTTGAAATCGGCCATACCAGGAATTTCTGGGGTCATGGGGACGCCGCAAAGGGAGGTAGCCATGATGACCTGTTTGGGGTGCAGTTGTCTGGTTTCTTGACCTTCTTTGTTGATCACGACCGTCCAGTTATGCTGGTCGTCTTGCTCTGCCTTCACGACCTCCGATTTGGTCCAAACATTCAATTCCAGGGCCTCCGCATACCACTTCATGTACATTCCTTGCTTCTGGGCGGGTGTGTACGTGGGCCAAAGCTTGGGGTATGGAAAGTAAGGCAAATCATCAGCCCAGTGGGGGAAGTGAAGTGATAGGTACTCATAACGCTTCTTCCAGACATCGCCGATTTCTTCGCTGCGCTCGATTATGAGACTATCCATACCAAGTGCCTTGCATCTGGCGGCTAGTGCGAGACCACTATTGAAGGAAACAAAGGGTCAGTACGGTTCATCGAGACGTGGAAGAGATAGACTAACTTCTGGCCGCCACCAATGATCAGTATCTCAGGGTTGGCAGCATCGATTTCCGCAGTTCTTTGCTTTTCCCAGCTAACGGGACCCGTCATATGCCCGTCGGGTGGAGGAAGTTCGGGAAACTGTTTCAGCTTCTCTGCAACGGTGTGCATTGTGTAAATCTTCCACCCCTCCTGGGTGAAGACTGCATTGATCACGGCTGAAGAAACCACGACTTCAGTCTCAAAGGACACAACTAATTGCAGTTGAGCAAAGTCCGGATAGGGCCGGGAAATCGTGGGAGCCGGGGTGAGGAACTTGAAATTGGTGGCTTTCGTTTGAGTGAAAAGGTCCGTGGCAGCCTTGAGGATTGCTGGGTAAAAATTGAAAGTGCGGTAATCCCAGGTGAAGGACAACTTGTCACGCCAAACGCCTGTACCGAGAAGGACATGTTAGAGGATGCCTGCACGAACGGGGAGAGTTAGATCTCACCGTATGGAAGGAACATCTCAGCAAATGTCTGAGCATCCCGAGCTCCCATTGCCTGCGACAGCCGCGCCGCGATGTCTTCGGCCTCCCTTTGGGCGTCGCAGTCCATGGGAGTTTCGATCCCCAGAACGTCTGAAGTTGGTAAGACATGATTATATTTGAAGTCATACATAAAGTTGTCGTCAACCGGAGGCTTTGGGGAAGGGCATTCCAGCTTCTTAACGACGACCTCGGCCTTGAAACCGGTCATGTTGGCCTTGTTGCTGTCCAGGACAGAATCATGCATGGTGACAGCCATTGCGATGGATGTAAAGAAAACGTTGGAATTGTGTCAGACGCTAACACACTTAGCATACTCCCCATCTCTCTCTGCATGTCGCCGCAGCTACCCTCGTGCCCTTTTTCAAGAAACAGCTCCGCTGCATGCTTCCAACCTGGTAACCGGAGATAAACGGGCGTCCGGGGGCGTCGGATATAGTTTATGGTCACATGACCGGACATAATCACGCCCGTCCATCCGATGCCGACGACTTTCGCCTGTGTCTCTGGATGGGTTGACTCCGGGCGTAGTCTTTGACTCATGCATTTCAATCTACTTCATCATATCGTCCGATATTCATGGCATGATGGTCAACGTGTTAGGATCGAACCCCTCCCAGGCATCGGGCAGAGGCGCTGGTTCTACGCGCCGGAATGACGAAACCGGAGAAGCGCAGGGGCCGCCCAAAAAACAAAGGAGACAACGGCCCTCTCTCAGCTGCGCAGGTTGGTGCCATCCCATCCCTGCAGTATGGTCTACGCCAAGAGCGGCCACGCAATGGCTAACGCTACGACTGTCAGAATGTCGCCGGCTGAAAATGAAATGCGACCGCCAGGGTTAGTAAACAAGCTAACTTGGCGTCTGGAGAGTCCCGGCTGAAGAAAGATTGCAGTGCCATGCTCCAATTGTGTCCGTCGACGCCGGGCCCCGTTCTGTAATCCGGGGATAACCGGCCAAACACCGCCACGGTGTGTGTTTCTCTCGTTATCCCTGCGTTCAGGTCTGTCGCCAGCTAAGTCAGTATCACAGCAGAGAGTGTGGGGTGCACCAAAGACCGCGCCAGGCTGCTGGGCATGATCAGCCCTCGCAATCCCCGGGCGGAATTACTCGCCTTTCACCTGCGACCCATGAATCTGGCCCTCACCACATACAACGATGGGACGTGCTACCCCAACATGGCTTCCCTCAGCATCACAATCATGGCCAAGCTATTGTCGCTGCGCCGGGCTCCGCGGACGCTCGGGGTCGGAACTTGGGGCCGCAGCAGAGCGGCAGACGGGATGAACAACTCGCCCTCCTCGCCCATGTGCTACAGTCAGACTCTTTGCAGAATTCTCCTTCGATGGCCACAAGCCGAATTCCTCTAGCTGACCACAGTGTAAGCAAAGATACTGGCTTGCAGAACTCCGTCGCACAGCCCGTCGGGGTTGGCGAACAGAGCGGCTCCTATGGCACATTGATGTTGGGTAAGGGAGGTCGGTCAAAATACTTGGGACCGACCGCGGGCAGTGAATGGTTGAAAGAAGTACGTCTCCTTGCTGGACCGACACTCAGACCGCTGAGAATATAAATGGTAGTCCGAAACACAAGACATATCAGACAGTCCGCCGGTTACTCGCGCTCCTTCTCCCAAAATAGCCCAAGAGCCGGTTCGATCTCGATCTGGTCGGTTAACGCCCGGTACTGCTCCCATCGCCTTTCCTTTCAACGTTGCAGCCTCCCACGTCAGTACCCGCGAACTGCTCTCCCGCCTGCCGCCAAGGGAGGAGGCGGAGACATTGGTTGCGTCGTACTATCGCTACTGTGCTTGGCAGTGAGTGTTGGAGACCCAGTACGAAAGATGGCCCTGACTAAGGTTTAGTCATGATGTGGCTCCCAGAGCCACTTTCGACAAGACATTTGACCGAGTCTACGCAAGTTCAAGTCAGACGTCTTTATCGCCAAACGTCAATCCACAGGAGATTGCACTCGTGTTCATTATCCTGGCTCAAGGAACCATGTTCAATATTGAGATGCCCAACTACGATCCATCTACCGAAGACTGGCTACACCTCTCGGAGCTGGCTCTGGTCAAGGGACGCTTCCTCTCAAATAACATGGTAGCCGGTCTCCAGACCCTAGTAAGTCTTGAGTTAATCGCGCCCGATAAGTCACTAATAGTGGTTAGCATTTAATGGCGCATCTGCATTTGTATAGGACCCCCTTCGTTGCGTGATTCTTCATGCTGACAATTGGAGTAGACAACTGGATAAAGGCGGAAGAGGTGACAATTCCTGGCCTCTTTGGGGATTGGTCATGCGTTTAGTCCAAGCGGTAGGTACCCTTCTTTGAAGTGATGACAGCATCTAATGGAACCATATGTAGATGGGTATGCACCGGGACGGTACCCGCTGGAACCTCTCTCAAGATGTGATTCAAGAAAGACGCAAGGTTTTCTGGGAGCTGAATGCTGCCGATACATTCCAGGCTCATTGCTTTTCGAGGCCGTACGGTCCCCTCCGCCTGTAGGCTTATTGCATTTCTAATGTTGGACAGGTGTGCGATTAATCCTGAGCATTGCGACGTCGAATTCCCCGCCGAGCCGCTGCATGCAAGTCGCGAGAAGAGCTATTCCAGACTACGATTCGAGCTATCTCAGCTTTCTTCCGAGTGTGTCCTTCATTTTTACTCCTCCCCTGCTTTGTCCGTTATTTCTCCGGGCTAATGATACTGAAGGATCCTCAATATGGCCATGAAAGTACGGAAACCACCGTACTCTGCTGTCACTGATCTAGATGTTAGGCTGTATGTCCTCCTGCTAGATAAGTGCAAAACAGGTTTAGATGCTAACCCTACCGAGGGCCGACTTTGAACGCAACCTTCCCTTCTCCCTTCGTTGTCGAGCAGCGTTCCTGTCCATGCCCTCTCGGTACCCCCACGTCCAGGCGGCAATCGAGGCATCACCAGAACCATCTCCAAGGTCAATGACCATCTCTTTCCAGGTTTGTCTGCCCATCCCGTCAATTCATGCGTCCGCTGATTCAAGCAGCAAAGTAATCTTGCACTCAACATATCTGAGACGATAATTAACCTGCATCGGCCTTATTATGCTAAAGCGCTCTACGACATCAACGAACGTACCAAATCCATATATGCGCCCTCATTTCTCACAGTGATCGAGCGTTGCGGGGTAAGCCCTTCCTGTAGGCTAGCCAGTTATGACCTCCACCTAACATTGATAGATTATCATTGCTATTGTTGATGACATCCATACCCGTTTCCCCGCGGTCAGCACCAGACAATGGAATTTCTGGGTAGGTCAATCTACTCCTTTCGTAAGCGAGGGACCAGAAACCTGACAGTGTTTCGCACCCTAGTATCACGTGTTCGGTTCAGCTCTCTGCTTAGGGACGTTAGTGTTGCGCGATCCCCAAAATTCGATGGCTACCTTCGCTCTTACCCAAGTTGATGCCGCGATCAATCTATTTACCTCTTTGGTGCAGCACGGCGCCAACACTCCGAGATACTGCCGTAATCTGCAGTGGCCTTCGAAACTGCGCGCTCGGGCATCGTCCAAGATTGCCACAGTGTCTACCGCCACCCAACAGGTTGACTCGCAGCGAGACCACGGCGATCCGGACGGACAGGAAATTGGTCGAGAAGACAGAGAGGATAGTGAGGATGTTGAGTTACTCGGTTGGCGGACTACGTTGATAGAACGGGCTGGTCAAGGTCGTCCGACTATCCGCACTATTCGGCTTGCTGAGACGCCGACCGATTCTTATGAGAGCTTAGATGTCTCAAACGCATCGCCGCATGGGCATCCTCAAGGTGAGCTGGGAACAGGCGATAATATCATGATGCCGGGCTCATCCCTTCCTATGGTGACCCCCGACTCGACAAACGAACTTGTAAGCATCATTATCCCAGCATTCGCCCATTATTCGAACTGACAGATACCACACAGTTACAAGACTTTTGGGATCCAATGCTGCTACAGGATATATTGGGAGGTATTCCAGTGGAGTAGGCAGATGTATGATGACTTCGGGACCGAGTTTCCTTTCAATGGCTACAGTCTTCAGTAGGGATGCCGGGCCACTACAACCATTCTGCATGCTCTCAACCGCTCAAGTTCCTCGTGTCCCTTCTTTTTTTCTTATATTGTAACGGAGCCAATATCTGTTCCAAACAAATCTGTACCTAACAAGTCTCGTACGATGTTCGTATTTTCTTGATTTACCATGTTGAGCAAACGTATATTACACGCAGTATCGGTTTTCAAAGCTTCAGAAATTACAGCTAAAGGCTTTTAAACATTCCGATGCCGCCACTCAGGGTTCTTCTACACGCGACTGGGTTCGTTCACAATACCAGAAGCTTACCCATCACTTCTACTTGGAGTCTATCTCAGAATGTGCTGGATTTTAGGTTTAATCTAATCCCAAAACCGCATACGCCCGTCTACAAAGGCCCCGTGGTAACATCTGAAAGGCTGCCAAAACAAGAAAGGATGCATATGATATCCACCTACAGTTCTGTCTATGGGCGATGATGGCCAGCTGAAGAAAAGACCTGCTGAAATATGATTAGGAAAACTATTAGTCTATTTTACCGACTGGTTTTGTATTTGAAATATTAGGCCTTGTCCTTCGCAACTTCCATGATGGGCAGGCCATTGTCATCAAAGTATACCGGTACGCCATTGCGGAACGAGTGCTGTAGAGCAGTGGCAATCTTAGCCGCCTCATAGGCATCCTCGGGAGCGCAGGTGAGAGGCTCGCCGTCAAGGACCGCGGCCGCAAACTCTTCCAAGTCTTTGATGAACGATTTATCGTAGAGGATGAAAGCATCTGGGGTTGTAGCCGTACGCACACCATGCGAATCACGAATCTCAACACGGTTAACAGTGGAATTGGCATTGATGACCGAATGGGCCTTAGTCCCGCACACGCGGGTCATCCCCTCGAAGCCGTTGGTGAGAGTGCGGCCCAAGTGGAAGGTGAGGATCTTGCCGTTGGCGAATTCAACCAGACCCCATCCGTTGTCGCAGTCGCCATACTTGGCAAGCTCGCCATACACAGCCTGTTGGCCCATGGCAATGACTCTCTTGACCTGTTTCTTGGGATTTATGAGGCCCGACTTGACATCCAGGTAGTATCTGCCAATGTCGATCTGTGCGGTGTGAGCGACTGAGCCCTACAGAGACTAAGTAATAATGGAAATATGACTGACATCATGGACCCCCATATCAACAAAAATACCTCCAGACTGCTCGGAGAATTTCACAAAGAAGCCTATGGAAGACGGTTAGAGCTCACTAGGCTGGCGGTAATTGTTTGAAAGATAGCTCACCTGTAGGATCCTGCTGGTCAATGCAGGAGCTCTCGACCGCGTGTATATCACCGAGTAACCCATCCATGACCATCTGTTTCGCCTGACGATACGAATCATCGTCTATTCTGGATTAGTCGATAGGTCTTCGTGATTCAGCACGGGAAATTAAATGCTCGACTTACACCGTCGACAGAAGGGTACCAAGAATTTGAGGTGAGGCTTAGAAGCGGCTTTAGCGACGACCTCCTCAGTAGTGATGACATCTACCGAGATGGGTTTCTCACACATCACATGCTGGATCACAGGTTAGCCATTGACCCCCACATGTAGGCAGTCGCTAGTAAGCTCACCAGACCTAAATCAAGTGCTTTGAGGATCAAGGGGGCATGAGTAGCTGTGGCCGTCGAGATCAAGACAGCCTCGGCGCCACTACTTTTCATGCAATTCTCCGGATCATCGAAAAACTTCACAGATGAAGGCAGGTTTGCCGCCGCCCACTCATCCGCCCCCGGTTTTGTGTCGCAGGCAGCGACAAGCTCAATGCGAGGTTGCTGGAAAGCCAGAATCCGAGCACGAATGGCACCTAAACGGCCCAGGCCGATCAGGGCGATTTTCAAGCGAGGTTGGGTGGTCATGGTGATATGAATGCTTGGTGGTGCATGCAAAATTGAGTGGCTCTGAAACAGTTTGCTTTTATGTCAATTCGAGCCCATTTTTACCCCCGACAGGGTTGCGGGGTCTTGATTAGGGTCCGATGGATGCATTCATTGTTCAGTCAATGTCCGATGGCCGATACTTTCACCCGGTCTGCTTTAAGTCCGACTTTTGTGGGGTCCGATCGGACGTGCGGATGTGCCAGGAGAACAAACCGATGACAGAAAGAGAGCGTTTGGGGAGCGATTCGGACTCCTCCTATCGCACTCTCCTTTACATCTCGATGTCTTGAGCTAGGGGCTTCTTCCGCTTTTCACTAGTTAGAAGATGGTTTGGCCTTACAATCAATATTCCTATGTGGAGACCTTACGTTCGGATATATATATGAAGCAATGCCGCCGGACCATCTACCGGCACACAACAACATGATCTGATCACTACTATTAGTAGTAGTCAGTACTAAGTACTCCATAATTTATCTGGCTGGAGTGCTAGTGCTGCAGAGTCGCATTGTAGGAGACATGGAACGTACGATTAAAAACCTGTAACTGTGCAATATTACAGTCGAAGCTACGACAGAGCCTGAGGCATTAAGTCATGCCTGGCGTGTGCAAAAGTAAGCGGTAAGGATTTTGCCGAGTGATGTCATTCCTGATTTGGTAGGCGGAACTGCCTCCGTTTTGTCATATTGAGTCGATGAGAATACGATTATCACAGGAGCTGATGTCAAACGCTTCCCACATCAAAATGCCTCTCAATCGAATTTCACCTCACTATACGCAACCACCATTCCCGCCAACTCCTCCAGATTCGGCGCACTCGTGATATCTAGCGCTGAAACCTCGGCCGCAAACGCCCGCGAGACCCATTGGCGCATCTCCACCGCCAGCAACGAGTCCACCCCTTGTAGAGCCAGCGAGCGCTGCTGGTCGATCTCGGATGGCGAAGTCAGACTCAATGACCGTGCAAGTTTTCGCGTCAACCCTTCGATCACCACGGTGACCGCGGCTGAGGATGAATCTGCCCTCGCAAATGCCCGGTGCCAATTGCTGGGTGAGGTGTCGCCGCCGGGGTTGATGGGACTGTTATCTGCGCCGTCGGTCTCCCCTGGTCCCGTCGCTTCTTGCCGGAGAGTTTGGAACATGCTGCGTTCGGTTAGCCACGTTGGTATCTCGTGGCCATGAGCCCGAAGCTGTGCCGGTGTAACCACTCCGACGAGAATCTGTGGTTTGCTGCTAATGGTCGTGGTGACTGGATTCGCCGCAGGATCACAGCACCGCTCCAGGAGGGCCAGGAACTCGGCCTCGCTGATCCCAGCCATACTGGGGGCCGCATCCACGCGCATGGCCAAGTGTTCTTGCTCAGCAGCAACTCCAATCTCGCGCATCCATCCCAGATCGAGCGCGACCGCGCGCTGACCCAGAGACCGACGGTAGGCCGCAAATGCATCCTGAAAGGTATTCCCCGCTGCGTAGTTGGCTTGTGAAATGTGGCCAATGACACCGGCAAGCGAGGAGAGAAGAATGAAGAAGTCGAGATCGGCAGGGAGCTGCGCGTGCAGGTTCTCCGTACTTTTCACCTTGGACTGGAGAGTAGTATCCCACTGACTGAAGGTCAGACTTTCGAAGATCGTGTCCTGCAAAACCATTGTTCCTTGGATACACCCTCGAATCGGAGGCAGGTCCCGGCACTCCTCTAGAGCCCGAGTCAACGCCTCGGAAGAAGTCAGGTCACACCGGGGAGCCCGGACGCGAACTCCCTGATCGGTGAGTTCCCGAATAAGCTCTTGTGCTGCGGTTGCCTTGGGACCCGATCGAGACAGCAGAATCAGATTCTTCGCCCCCATGGATGCCATCCATCGAGCGGCGCTTCGCCCTAGGCCCCCGAGTCCACCGGCAATCAAGTACGTTGCCTCGGGGGGGAATGAATATCTGGGGACATGTCGAATGGACGTCTAGAATGAATTTCAACCAGTTAGTGCCTGCAAAGGTCTGAAGGACGGAAGTTTAACTTACCTGTACGAGGTCGGTGGGGGTCATGTTGATCACCAACTTGCCCACATTTTTGCCGCTTTGCATCAAGCGGAATGCTTCCTCTGCCGATGAGAGGGTGAATTCCTGAAGTGGCCAGGCGGGCTGCAGTGTGCCAGCCGTGACCATCTCCACGACCGGCCCCAGCGATTCCTGGATGATATACGGTCGGTCATAATGCATCTGGTCGATGGCTACTACCGAGAAGGAGACGTTGCGCCCGAAGTTGCGCATTGGCAGCTTGGAGTTTGATTGAATATCGGACTTGCCCAGTTCCACGAACCGTCCGTACGGGGCGACGCACTCCCACGAGGCAATGAGGCCATCGCCGGAGAGCGAGTTCAGCACGACATCCACACCACGGCCACCAGTCAATCGCATAACATGGCGCTGGAACGACGTGTCTCGACTGTAGAATATATGCTCCTTGGGAATGCCATACAGCCGCTCAAGCAAGTCCCGTTTGTCGTCTGAGCCGACCGTGGCAAAGACCTTGGCCCCCAGGGCTTGGGCAACTTTGATGGCCATTTGCCCAGTACCCCCAGCCCCCGAGTGAATGAGCACTGTCTCTCCCTTCCGTAACCGTGCGATCTGCACCAGGGAATGATATGCAGTCACGCCGCCGAGGGGGATCGCTGCGCCCGCGGCAAAACTCAGGGCATCCGGGATCTTCGAAACAAATTGGTAGTGACAACGAACCAGGGTGCGGAAACAGTCGAGGAGGACGGCACAGACCCGGTCTCCTGGCTTCAGGTCCGAAGTTGCTGCCGCACCCACCCGAGTCACAATCCCTGAGCATTCTGTACCGATGCTGTCGCCGTCACTGAGCCGGCCCAGCAGGACAAAGATATCGCGGAAGTTGACCCCCACCGCTTTCACCTCGATTTCCACTTCATCATCACCGAGTGGGCGCTCGATGGCCTCGGTGTCTTCAACAAAGAGCATCGCTTTGCTCTCCACTGACCCCGGGTTCGCGATCGTACAGGTCAATGGAGGGCCCTGTTTGAAC